GCACTATCACTCACCCTCTCCCTTCGTGTTTGACGTCTGCTCGTCCCACTTTATTCGATGGAGCATAAGACGTTTGAATTTCTTCTGTGCTTTCGGGCCTGGGGAAGAATCGAGACTCAAAGTTCACCAAAAATCCCTTAACCTGCAGTTCTCAGAGGTTCCCTTCCACATGGAGTGGATTGCTGCACCCTGCAGCCAGCGCTAACCCCGTAATTAAGGGAGTTTCTAATAGCCTCCTCACTTCCTTGTCCTTCCCTAACCCTCCATCACCAATTTCCACAGTAATTCCTGCTGGAGGCAAGCTCTGGAATGACCTCTCACCTCCTTCTACCACCACCACGTTGACATCTTTGTGCAGGACCACCACACCTGTGAGGTAAAGCTGCCCCGCGTTCGCCTCGATTTTGAATTTTTTTGCTGGATTGCTCAAGTTTCGGACCCTGAGGAAAAGATTAAAAAAAAATAAAAATCAAATATTTGTGGAAACCCAGAATTATTATCCCAGCCCTGAGAGCTCCTCCTCTGCCTCATCCAGACCCAGAGACAGAGCTCAGCTGAACACAGCTCCCTGAGCTCACCCACCTGTAGACAGCTATGTGAACTCCCTGGGAAACGTCTTCCTTGAGCTTTTTCACCTTCTTGGCTTTCCGCTGCTCCGCCGTGAGCTTCCTCGCCGCGTTCGCCTCCTCGTGAGCTCTGCAAGGGAAGGGGCAGCACTGAGGGAAAGGCAGCCCAGGGCATCCCAACGTGGATCCTTCTCTTCCCAAGCAATCCCTGGTATTATTGTCTGGAGAAACTGTGGCTGCCACATCCCTGGAAGTGCTCAAGGCCAGGTTGGATGGGGCTTGGAGCAGCCTGGTCAAGTGGGAGGTGTCCCTGCCCATGGCAGGGGGTGGGACTGGATGGGCTTTAAGGTCCCTCCCAATCCAAACCATTCCATGATCCACGGATCCCAAAATCCACAGATCACAAAGCAGCTGCAACTCTCTGCCTGAATGAGAGGCTTTTTTAATCCAGTCACTAGTCCAAGTCATCCTTGGGCTCTTCCCTGGAAACATTCCTTAGTAACAACTGCAGTGGGAATCATCATTGTGGGAAAACTCATTGACTTCAGGGCCTGGGACCCCACTTCCCTGGAAAGGCTAATGCCTGGGATCCAGTTCCCCCTGGACCAGGTGGGGTCCTAAACACAACACCAGCACTAAATCCATCCAAAAATGTCCCAAAACCCAGCACAAGGTGCCACCTACTTCTGTCTCTTGGCCATCTGTGCTCGGACGTGAGCTTCCACCTTCGTCGGGTCCTGGACGGCTTCCGTGCCCAGCACCCGCATCAGGTTGGAAATCCTCACTGCAAGGGATTGGGAGAGCTCCCATCAGACACAGGAATGGGACAGGGGCTGGGAGAGCTCCCACCAGTCGTGGGAAAGGGGCTGGGAGGGCTCCCATCAGACACAGGAATGGGACAGGGGCTGGGAGAGCTCCCACCAGTCGAGGGAAAGGGGCTGGGAGGGCTCCCATCAGACACAGGAAAGGAAGAGGGTCTGGGAGAGGCTCCGTTTGGAGAAAGGAACATAAGAGGGGCCATGAGAGTCTCCTGTCGGGACACCAGAACAGGAGAGGGGCTGGGAAGGCTCCCACTAGACACAAGAATGGAAGAAGAGACAGGAGAGGCTCCTGTGGGACACAGGAATGGGAGAGGAGCTGGGAGAGGCTCCTGCAGGACACAGGAATGGGAGAGGAGCCGGGACAGCCTCCTGTGGGACACAGGAATGGGAGAGGAGCCAGGAGAGGCTCCTGCAGGACACAGGAATGGGAAAAGAGCCAGGACAGGTTCCTGTGGGACACAGGAATGGGAAAGGAGCCAGGAGAGGCTCCTGTGGGACACAGGAATGGGAGAAGAGCCAGGAGAGGCTCCCATTGGACACCTTTCTGCTCACAAACCCATGCCCAGGCAGGTCTCCCATCCCTCCAGCACACAGCTCCGTGCAATCCCTGTGCTGTGGTGGTGCTCCTGCAGCATTCCCAACACATCCCTGCCTGGCCAGGGCCAGTGGCTGCCGCTCACCTTTGGGCTCTGGCGGTGGCATCAGGCCCAGCCTGACCTTCTCCTGCAGCTCCTTCTGGGCCTCTCGCCGCGTCTGGCGCCGTAGTTTCTTCTGCTCCTTCTTTGTTAAATACACGCCCAGGGTCACAGGGGTGTCACTGTCCACTGCATGGAAACGGGATCGTCAGGAATGTGCTCCGGGGGAGCCAGGGGGACACTGGCAGTGCCATGCAGGGGCTGTCCCGGGCTCCCCCTGCCAGAGGTTGGGTCTGGTTTAACAGCCAAACCTCCCAAGCCATACCGGGGGGGTTGAGCTGGGCCGGGTGCTCCACCAGGTTTGTGATGCCAAAGTACTCGTCTCTCTTGGAGGACGTCCCGCCTTTTCTAGAAAGGAGAGAGTTGGGTGTCACAGCAGAATTCCCAGCCCGAATTCCTGCACAAATCCTGACCCAGAGCCTGATGGGCTGAAGGAGACCCTCAGTGTGAACGTGCACGTGTCTCCCCAGCGGGACATCCACCCCCATTTCAGGGTCCCCACATCTACCGTGGACAGGACTTGCACGGAATGGTCATGAAACAAAACCAAACCTCAGCTTTGGGCCACAAAATCCCTCCAACCCCATGGCAGCTCCCTACAACAGCCCCCCGAGAGACTCCGGGAGCAAACCCAGTGCCCACCTGGATCTCAGAGATGAGAGCTGGAATTCAATGCTCAAGCAGGAGCCTCTGGCCCAATTTCCCACAGACCCACCGTGTTTCCCCTGAGCAGCTCCCAGAGCTCCTCCTGCAGCAGAACCACCAACACCTGGGAATACTCACAAATCCAGGCCGTTGGGGATGATGTAGGAATCCCACCACTCGATCTCCGGGATCTCCCCCTCCTTCAGCTCCTTCTTAGGGGTGATCAGAGCCAACTTGGTGGAGGTGTGAATCCCAGTTTTCCTGGCAGCCTGGGAGATCTCTGCCTGCAGCTTTTCTAGCTGAGCCTGAGAACAAGGAGGAGGAAAATGGCACAGAAAGGTCATTCCAGAACAGCGGAACCTTCAGGAACAGCTCAACATGGATCATGTACTGATTTATTTGGGTTTTTAAACAATCTGACAGAGACTGCACGAGAAACCACACAGCACCTGATGGGGAAGGGAAGCTCCCAAACCTGCCAGAAGTCTGGTCTTATTCCTGAGCCTTTCAGGAGCATGGAACAATCCCAAAGGAAAGTCTCCCTATAGGGGTCATACCCCTGGACTTTTCTAATGCACCTTTTCTCTTCACTCCAAGAACATGGGCATTTTACCAAAATTCCTTTAAATCTCCACCTCTCAGCCAGAGAAGGATCTGTTCTCTTGGCAACTTTAAATCTTTTGACAAAAATAGAGATTTTTGTCTTTCGCCGGGTGAAGACAGCAGTGAGAAAACCCTTTGCACACGCCTGTGCTCACTTGGGCACCCACCATTCCAAAAATGGGGTTTTTAAGGGAAAAGCTTCAGGTGACTTCACTTGAAAACTCCTAAGCCAAAAGCCACCCCAGCTCCCTCCCCACCCCAGGAGAGGAGAACCCCTCTCCTGCCCGTGCAGGGCGAGACCTCCAATACCTTCGTTCGCAACCTCTGGGCAATCTTCTCAAATTTGCCTTTTTCGTGGAACTTGAAGGTGCGTTTCTGCCGCTGGGCCGGGGTTATGGAGACCCGGGGGTCAAAGTACGTGTTGGACTCCATGTCCTCCGAGGGCTTTTCCTTGAGCTGCTGTTTGAACTGCTCCCTCTTCACAGCCCGGATGTTGGCTTTGAGGGTGGGCATGCGGTGGGTCAGCTCGATCTCCTTCCCGGTCGCGTCCACCGTCCGGCCCTGCTCGTCCAGGATCAGCGGCGTGGGCTTGGTCTGGTCCTTCAGCTCCACCTTCCTGCGGGCAGGACGAGACACACCGCGTTAAAAGGTGAACACAGCATTAATTCAAAGGGAATCTCAGTTTATTTCCACGGCTTCCGTGTTTTTACACCTCATCCGTGCCGCCCCAAGCGACTCCAACCTCGTGTGCACAGGTTGGGAGTGTTGCCCAAGGAGGAGGAACCTCCATTTCACCTCTTTAATACAAAATTTATCCCTTCAGCAGCCATGAAGGCCATTGCTGGGGAACCAACAGCACTGGAGAAACCTTTGGCCACCCCTGCCCGGCGCTGGGTACTCACGGTGGCGCGATGCCCATGGCGTGCAGGTTGGCCAAGCCCACCATGTTGGCGTTGCCAATGAGCCCTGGTTTCAGGGCCAGCTGGGCCTGGATCCGGGCCTGCAGCTCTGCAGCTTTCCGGGCCTTCTCGATGGCGTCGTTCATGAACGTGGCTGCCTGCGAGGGCTGGATCGTGTTGCCGATGGGGAGACGCTCCGACTGCGACGAGGAGGAAATTTTGGGCTGTTGGCAGAGAAGGGAGTTTTGCTCTGAGCCTGTCCCAGCACACCCAGGCCAACAGGCTGCAGCTGGAACAGGGACCACGGGCCATGTGGGCTTTGCCCCCTGCTCCCAGGAGGTACCTGTGGTGTGGGAGGACTGATGAAACTCAGCTGCTTTTTCCTCTCCTCGATCTGCCGGGTGGCTGCCTCCATCATCTGCTTGATCTGGGGAGGAAAAACACACACAGTGAGTCTTTCTTTGCTGTCGGCAAAGGGATATGAGTTAGGACAAGGACTGAACCACGCTGGCATTCGGGATCTCTGGCACAGGCAGAGGGCAGGTGCCATGGCCCAGCTGGACTGACCTGCAGCTTGGTCAGCATCCCCGGGCTCTCCGACGGCGGGCCCGGGATGACCTCAGGCTCATCCTCAACCTCCTCGAACCGCGGTATCCGCCGCTTCTTGACACCAGAGGATTCCTTGGATACCTCAGAGTCATCACCAAACACATCCTAATGTAAAGACAAAGGAGAAAAGCGTGGTTAGAACGGAGTGTTCTCCTCACAGGCCGGGATTTGGGGTGAGAAACCAGCACGTGGCTCAGCTCCGGCTCCGAGGGGCAGAACTCCAGGGTGGCACTGCAGGCTGAGCCCACGCTGAGCCCCTGGCCTGGGCCCCCAGCAGAGAAACATCAATGACGTCCATGCAAGAGCAGGAGGGACAGGAGGCATCGCAGGGACCCGCCTGTGCGACAGCCACCACCTTCCCTCGCGTGCTCAGAAGTGGCTTTTGGCACTGAGCACATTTAAGGTCTCAGCAACATGGAAAGATGGAAAAAGCCTGCCCAGAGCTGACCTGACTGGGATAAAAAACATTTCCACGTCTTCCACCAACTTGAGAGGGTTTGGTGAAGGCATCTGAGCTGTCCTACCACGTCCTCCCCAACAGGAGGATGCTGCCCCGGACCCAGGGAGGGTTGGGACACCTGCAGCGTTCCCTCAGGCTCCGAGCCAGGCCACTCCAGCTCGGATCCAAGGCTGGAGCTGCTCCAGAAAAGCAGAGCTCAGAGAGCACACGGAGCAGTGACCCCATTGAGGGGCTCCCAGCAGTGTGAGCTCCCAAAACAAAAGGCACGGCACGTTTTCCGTGCCAGTTTTCCGGCCAGGCCCAGCCCAGCTCCTGAGGCTGTGGCCATGGATTCCATCATCAGTGACTGGTCTGTGTGTGCAAACCTGGATCTGTCCGTGCCCTGGGCTACTGTAGTGTGTGTGTCAGGGTGTTATTTGAAAAGAAAATATACACACCGGTTGTAAGCGTTAGTTGCAATCCCTTCTTCACTACAACGGTTCGTATCCTACAAGGACACTTCCTCAGCCACACAGGTACTTCTTGGAAAACCTACAAGTTCAAGAGAAAGGACTTGCCCATAGTATAAAGTGTGGAAACCGTTCCGTTCAGTTCCTGACCTTCCCAAGCAATGACCTACCCCAGAGCGGCCCGCGGGGCAGGAAGCGGCCGAAGGCACCGGGAATGAATCCACTGCCCCACGCCACGGGATCCAGGTGGGCCAGGACAAATCCCTCTCCACAGCCTGTGCCGGGGCAGGGGGAGTCAGTCTGGGAGTGCCACCGTGGCCTGACCACCTCAGGGACCATCTCTGTTCCCACAGGGTCAGGACAGACCCAGGGTGTGATGGAAGAGCTCCAAGAAATGTGATTCCAGAGACAGGGGTGAGGATTTGGCAGGAGGGACACCTGTCCCTACGCCAGGAGCCAAGAGAAGAAGGATCAGTCTGTGCTGTCACTGCCCAGCCCAGCTTCTGGCTCAGCTGGGAGCCAGAAACACCACCAGGGCTCAGGCCACACACCCCCACTGGGGAGGGGTCTCTGGCTGCACCCCCAGCCCAGCCCTGCTCCTGCTGCCAGCGACAGATCCCTCTGCCAGATCCCCTCTGCCAGCAGCAAATCCCTCTGACAGTGCCAGATCTCTGCCAGATCCCCTCTGCCAGCAGCAAATCCCTCTGACAGTGCCAGATCCCCTGACAGATCCCTCTGCCAACACCAGATCCCTCTGCCAGCACCAGATCCCCTGACAGATCCACCTGCCAACACCAGATCCCTGTGCCAGCACCAGATGTCGTTTGCCAGCACCTGCTCTCGTGCCACCCGAGGCTGTCCCTGCTCTCCTGCCACCCCCAGGTGATGGCACTGCCAACGTCCCCATCTCTCCTGTCTCCCTGTGAGGGTCAGGGGAGCCCCTGGACCCCCATCCCTGCTCGACCCTTGCACTCCCACGGCCTTGGGGACCAGCCCAGCACCCCCTGCCATGGCTGGGGGAAGAACAGCAAGTTCCTAATGGAGACCAGGGAGGGGAGGAAGTTCCTAATGGAGATCAGGGAGGGGAAGAAGTTCCTAATGGAGACCAGGGAGGGGAGGCTTCTCCCAACGCTCCCAAAGAGATGCAGATCCTGAGCAGGATTGCTCTGCCCCACCGAGGTCCAGTGCTGACTGACAGTGCCAGGGAAACATGGGCTGCCATAACCCAGGAACCTCGGGAAGAGTGAAAGGAAAATCACCTTGAGTGGGAGCAGCATGAAAAGGGAATGTCACACTGGGCAGAGTGATGGGAAATGCAATTCCAGAGGCTGGTGGGAAAAGTCCTCAAGAGAAGAAAGGAAGTGAAAAGAGATTTGGATGCACGAGCCTTCCACCATCCCTGACAAGGGGGAACCACCAGAACTATGGAATCCCAGCTGGAATTAACCCTGTGCTAGGACAGGGGTTGTCAAAACCCACCTATTGTTGATTCTGGGTGGGAAAAGGGAAGGAAAACCCACCAGATCATCCAGCACAGAGCCCCACGTGGCACATCCGGGCACGGGAGAGCGACGGGAAGTCACTGGGAGCAGCTCTCCCAGGCTCCCACTGGAAACACAACCGTGAGGAGCACGGAGCACAAGGGAGAGGGATCCCTGTGGATTCCCTCCACTGCACCAGCCTAACAGAGACCCTCCAGGAAAGCCAAAGCCAGGCTTCCACCTCGGCTTTGGGAAAGAGAACCGCAGGGTAAAGGCTCACACACTTCAACATGGAGAGGAGTCGTTTCTCTTGAACCGTTCCGAGCTGTACCTCTCTGGAAGAGGAGAGTGTGCCAGAGCACCAGTGCTGCCTCCAGGCCACCCAACCACAGGGAAAAACCAATCCACAGTCAATAATCAATAACTGATAATCAATAATCGATAATCACCTTTAGCTCCCGCTTGCGGTTCCGGTCGCTGTTGGATTTGGAGTGCCGGGAGCTCCGTCCCTCCTCCACGGCCTCGAAGAGCTTGTCCACAAATCGCAGGGTGGAGTCATCCAGGAAGGGCTTGAGGTGGTCTGGAAAAGAGGGAAACCCCGTCAGGGCAGAACTCCCAGCTCGGGGTGAGCAGGAGGATGGAGAATCCACAGAGGTTCCTCAGGGGGATGGAGAATCCAGAGGTTCCTGGCAGGCTGTAAAACACTCAAGTGGAAGGGTGGTTCGACCCTACAAACCCAGCGGGGCCTTTGGGGCTCCAGAAGCCTCTGGGATCTGCAGGTCCTGTTGTCAGGAGCTTTTAAACTGAGGGATTGAGGGACTCCAGGCCTGAAGCAGGAAAAAAAATGGGGCTGTAACGGGCTAAAAAAGCACCCCAGGTCAAATCACCGCTTCCAGGAATTAGTTTCCACTTCCTCAGGTTTTTGTAACGCGTTCCAAGGATTCCCATGGTATCCCACCGCACGGATTTGCCTGGGGG